AGTGCTGTAATCTTTGCTTACTTAGTCTTATGTTCTCAGTGCCCCTTGCACAATGTTCAGTGTGTTTTTGAATGTTCAAAATGTGTTTGGACATTATTATTAGTTGCTGACATCAGTTTTGGAAATCTGTAAATTCAGTCGGCCCCCTCCTAATTAAGTAAATAAAGGAGGGGGCTGACTGAATTTACTTTAATGAGTATATAACATCCCCAGTTATGTGTAGTTACTGATAAGTTTTTTTCTTAAGTAAGTTAACCAAGCCCTTTGCAGCCTTATTTACTTTATTAGTTAGTATTCATAGTACAAGGATAAATTTGAGTTTAGTCCTTGTTAAAATGACTGCATTTCAAGGGGCTTTATATTTCTGTGCTTTTCTTTCTTTCTTTCTTTTTAAATTTATTGAAGTACAGTGTTTCAGGAGTACAGCAAAGTGATTCGGTTATATATATATATATATGATTATAAGAATATATATATTCCTTTCCATTATAGGTTATTCAAGATATTGGATATGATTCCCTGTGCTGTGCAGTAGGTCCTTGTTGTTTATCTGTTTTATATATAGTAGTGTGTATCTGTTAATCCGAAATTCCTAATTTATCCCTCCCCCCACTTCTATGCTTTTCTGTACGGCTAGAATCTTATTAGCATTCTCACAGAAATTAATGGTTAGGTAAGTTTGTTAGTAGTAATAAAATTTTTTTTACATAAAAAATTTTCTGTTGCATTGCTCAGAAAAACTTGGCATTATTTCAATTTATATTTTTTACTCAATGTATTTATAATTTTTTAGGTAGGAATTCCAGATTTGTGGCAGCTGCCGCTGCTTTGGGTTCCCTACTGCTGGCTCATTTTCTTCTGTTATTTCCCATTTTCTTATGTTTCTACTCTATAAGACAGAGTTAAAAAGTAAAGATGATTCATTTTCAGGAATTGTACTGCTTTAGGCTTAATTTGAGCCTCTGTTCTGTTTTTGTTTTTGTTTTTGTTTTTTTTTGCGGTACGCGGGCCTCTCACTGTTGTGGCCTCTCCCGTTGCAGAGCACAGGCTCCGGACACGCAGGCTCAGCGGCCGTGGCTCACGGGCCCAGCCGCTCCGTGGCGTGTGGGATCTTCCCGGACCGGGGCACGAACCTGTGTCCCCTGCATTGGCAGGCCGACTCTCAACCACTGTGCCACTAGGGGAGCCCTGTTTTGGTTTTGTGTGTGTGTGTGTGGATACAATATGCTAAAACATTTTGTTAATTGAATAAGAGCTGCATTTTTAAGTGGGGCTACTTTCTTATGTGAGAATAATAGATGACAGCTAATATTCGTGATGTTAAAAATGAGGGTGAGGGTGAATTTATGTATTCTTAAAGTGACAAAAATTGTTCCTGGCCCATAGTAAAAGCTATTTAAGTCTTAGATACTTTTATTATTATACTTTTTTTTTTTAAAGAAATTCAGCATTTTATAAAACTACATACAAAGCTGATTGTAAGTCATATAGGACAAGACAATATTTTGTCAAGACAGTAAATAGATTTGGAGATAATTATAAAACAAACATAATTTTTAAAACCCGTTATAGAGGGCTTCCCTGGTGGCGCAGTGGTTGAGAGTCCACCTGCCGATGCAGGGGATGCGGGTTCGTGCCCCAATCCGGGAAGATCCCACGTGCCGCGGAGCGGCTGGGCCCGTGAGCCATGGCCGCTGAGCCTGCGCGTCTGGAGCCTGTGCTCCGCAATGGGAGAAGCCACAACAGTGAGAGGCCCGCATACCGCAAAAAGCAAAGAACCCGTTATAGAAATAGTACAGGTTTATCAGACCAAAAATACAGAACACAAAACAAGCAAAAATGGGAAAAAATATATATTCCTACCATCTAGAGATTATTACTTTTAGTACTTTAGTTTGTAATCTTTTTGTCTACGTAATTAAGTATACAGGTGTACTGTATATGTTTTCTTTTATCAAAATGGTGTCACACTGTACCTTGTCTCTTGAAACCTTTTTTTCAGTCAATAATGTCTGCTATTCCATTTCTGTAAATTTTCATCTCAGCCAATCCTCGGATCATATTAAAATTTCTAAAAATGTCCTTAATGGCTGGTTTGTCTAAAACAGTAACCAGAACAGGATTGTACCAGTGAACTTGACTGTTAGAACCCTTGTGTCTTTCTAAATCAAGGATAGCTACCCATCCCTCCCCTTCTCACCTTTTAAAATGATATTTGACTTTTTAAAAAGATAATTTGAAAGAGACTGCATCATGTCCTGCAGACCTTTTGAATTTGTCCAGTTTATGCTCATAATGTCATTTAGCTTGTTCTATCTTATATAGTGTCTGTAAGTTAAAATTTATATCTCTAAGTGCTTGGTGGATTCGCACGTTGAAGATGATTTGGCTGCTCGTAGATGATGCTGTGTTCTTCATATTGCAGCACATCAAAAGTTGTGTGATCTCTGCTTAACTTTCTTGGTAGTGCTGAGATTGACCACTGAAATTGGGTGATGACAGTCTTTTCTGCCCATTATTCAATTATATTTGTCTTCTTACATTAGAAGATACTTTGTGCCGTGTTACTTCGGCTCTGTTCGAAAGTTCAGGTCCTCATTATCTAATACCTCTTGGTTTAGCACCATTTGTTGATCCTTGCCTAAATCAATAATTTTATTAGGGCTTGCAAAGTTTGATTTTCCTTATTCTGTCTTTTTATGTTTATTAACTGGTATTTTCTGTTGCGTTTGCTTTATGAAATGGAGTTATTTGCTTTCCCTGAAATAGAGTTCCTACAGGAAAAGTAGGATAAATCCTTAATCTCCCCCTTCACCAATTTCAAAGTAAAGAACTATTCCAATAGCCACTTTTATCAAAAGTTATAAATGAAAATAATTTTTTGTTTAGTTGCTCTAACTTTTTCTGTTTTGAGTATCTTTATAGACTCACGGATTTTCATTTTATTCAGGATTCTTTAATTTACTACCATTTAAAAATTTTCTTTGATACTCAGTTTGTCACACATTGACCCATCGTGATATCCTTCATGCTAGCTCCTATGTCTGTTTGATATAGACCACTAATCTCTGTATGCCTTCGTGCTTTTTGGCACAGAAAGATATCCCAGACTCACCTTGTACCTTCCCTGCCCCAGATCTGACATCAACCAGTTTTCCAAGGAGTTGGTACCCTTTAGTGTATTATGATATTAGGGATGAAATCGGGTTCTAGAAGTGTTTACTACTGCTAAGGTGACATACTTTTAAGCCATTTCTTTGAAAAGACCTAAACAATATAGAGTTCTACAAACATGAGTTCACATTAATATATTCAGTTATTACTTGAGTTCTTGATTTTATAATGGTATCTCTTTTCTCTTACAGTAATAATCATGAATCTTCAAGTCATTAACATAACTTCATTGTTTTTTCCTATAATATAAGGAAAAAATTTGAAGATATCAATACTGATATTATTAGAAATAAACTATCGGAAGAAGTTTAAAATTTCTTTTTAGCTCTCTTCCTTCTTAGAATACTTCCTGCCCAGAAGCACAGTAAAATTAGTGTCCAAATAACCCTTGAAATAAATCCTTTCTCCTGGTTACCAATTTGATATTTAATCAGATTTATTTGTTTCAATGTGAGCTTCCCTCTTTCCCCTCCCCTTCTCTATGAAGCAACCATTTTTGTTAGTTTCTCAGTTATCAGTGTGTGTGTGTGTGTGTGTGTGTGTGTGTGGTGTGTGTGTTGGAGGGTTCAAATTCAAACAAAAATATGTATAAATATTTCTTTTATAAAATATCTCTTTTATACAAAGGTAACATACTATATACTCTGTTTTGCACATTTTTCTCTTAAAATATTCTGTAGATCTGTCCAACCAGTACTAGTAATCATAAAGGTAGAACATATAGTAATATAATCTTTTCTTAAATTATAATGATATTTCAAAGTGAAAGCTTTTAGTAATTTAATAGTTATTTTTAGATTGAAAATAATACTGAAATAAGCTCAATAGTGTGAATGCAGCAGAAATAAAGAAAAAAAATCTTTAAAAGGGCACTGGATTTGGTGAATTTTGAATTGTATTTGGAAGATGAATGGGTCCAAGTAGGTGGGCATAGAGCTTTAGAGATGGTCTTGAGTGGCTTAAGGCAGATTAGCTTGTCTGGTTTCTGTGTCAGAAAATCATGAGATTAGAGAGGGTTGATAGAGCTCAAGTAATGAGAGCTAGTATGATGGACAAAATGCATAGAAATGTAGATTATTGGTGCTTTTTTATGGTTAATCTGATACAAATTTTTGAGGGTAGAAGTTTGTTTTATGCAACTGTAATACATAAGTTAATAGAATGGGCATGCTAAATATTGATTACCTTGTTTGGAAATGAGAATAAGTTTCTACCTCAGTTCAGCATTATCAAGTCGTAAATACCAAGGGCTAGAAGAGATCATAGTGGTCTTCTCAACCTAACTATTGTGTAGAATAGGAAAGGTTGAGTTGTCCAATTTATACAACTGTTTAGAGGCATAGCCAGTTCTTAAATCTGACTTTCTAACTCTTAATTGTATCTACTTTTCTCTATACTGTAGTACCTTTTACAACCATGAAAAATGAGAAGTTGTACAGCCGTTTTTTGTTTCGTTTTTATTTTGAGTTTTGTCCTGATACTTTAGGACTGTAAATATGGAAGTTACCTTTTACCTTAGGTGCATTCTAAATATACTGAATAGAAGGATTTAAAAATTGTTTTGTCGTATAATTGTTTTGAGGATCTTTTTTGGGGTCAATGTATTTACCTGTATTTCTTAATTACACATGATGGCTTATAAGTAAATACATTTGACAGTCTTTTATTAGCGTAGCTTGTAGTGGGGAAAGCTTCTTTTTATAATCAGCTAATGCTTTAAAACATGTACATGTAGTTTGCATTGTTGTGTATTTCAATCAGCTAATGTTTTAAAATGTGTACACGTAATTTGCATTGTTGCATATTTCCTTAACTTAAGTACTCAGATATTTATCCAAACATTATTGCCATGGGGTTTCCTGCAGAAAGACTTGAAGGCGTATACAGGAACAATATTGATGATGTAGTAAGGTAAGAACTCTTTAATTTTCTGTTTCAAATATTGATGTATATTCGTGTTATATTTTCATTTAGAAAAGATTTCTAAACCACAGAAAAAGATGTACATTGTGATGTAAACTTTATTTTTATTATGTTGGTGACCTATAACTGCTTTTTTCTTGCTTCACATACCTACTCGGCCTCAATGGGATAAAACTCATTTGATAAGAACTGACCTTTTACCTAATCAGGTGTATGTGATATGATTTCATGGACTCCATAAAATGCCCCTCACCAGTTTAATGTCTGGATTCCATTACACTATGATTTTTGTCTTTTATTTCACAATTGGGTATTATCCTTAAAATCCTGAGTGCATTTATTCACTTAAATTTATTTATGCTAAGGTGTAGGTACCTGGTACCATGTAATTTTACATAGAGCAGTTTATAATGGGACATAAGTGTACCAAGGACCTGAAGAAGTATTTGGTACAAGGGATCTAGAAAGGAGTTGCTGGGCATACCAAAGCCTAAGTGTTTGCTTTACAATTTTGCATAATTTTCTAAGTGTAATTATCATTCAGTTCTGAACAGTAGTTCTCAAGGCTCATTTAAATAATTTTAAATACATTTATGACCTAAGAGTACATAATATATTTTATGAGAGAAGGAATTTTTGTCTGCTGTGTAGTCAATATGTTTTCTAATTTCAGAGCAAAAAATATGTGTATAAATAAATTAACTGTAAAATGTCAGTAGGAACTTTAATTGGCCTTTAAAAGTTAAAATTTTGGATTATTCCCTGTACTCTCAGAAGTATCTTTTTTGGAGACTTTCAATTTAAATATTTGGTGGTTATGAGAATTAAATGTTATAATGCGCAGGAAAACACTTTGTAAAGCTTTTTGCAGATGTAGAATCCTTTTTAAATAGTTGTCTTAGTATATAAGACTATCTGTACTCTCACATGAGCTAGCCATAGTTGTTTTACTAAGTGGTTAATTTTTAGCAATTTGCTTTGAGCCAGAGTATATTTACATTTTTGCAGTATTGAGTTGTATCCAATTGGATTTTTGTAATGTGTTCAGAATTAAATTTCAGTATCTACAAAAAACTCCCAGAGTTCTTTGTAGTTTCTGTTACAGTTATAGATGGTACATGAGGCTGTCAGAGGAACTGTTTAAGAACTTGAAAATAGGAAATAAATTTGCCTTCTCATAGTTGGGCAGGACACAATGGAAGAATGTGTAATATTGCAGGTCCATGGGAGCAACAGCTTGATATGGCTTAGTCAGTGATAATACCCATCTGCAGAAAATGCAGTGAATGATAGAAAAACGAATAAGAGAAGTAAAGTTTGACTCAAGAGATGGAGAATCTGGGAAATGAGCAGTGCATTCATCAAACGTGTTTGCTGCTGTGGTGCAGGAGTGTTTATCAGGCCTCTTTATGGCCTAGATGAAACATCTCTGAAGTCTGTCTACTTCACATTACTATAATTCTGTATTCAACCAAGTCAGATTAATACTTATATGGAAAAGGAGTATGAGTACTCTGAGCAGAGGATGCGTTTTCTGATCACTGTAAGGATATCCTTGTGATAAATTATCCTAATTTTTACATTGTCCTCTTCTGAATGTGAATTAGTCTCTTTTGACTGAATTTACTGAGGCTGACTGATCATGTTTCAGGTTACTGATAAAGTCCAGTTTCTGGTTCTGTACGTGTGATTATGAGATCTTAGGTTGTAATAACGTCATCAAGCAACTACTCTGCTGGGAAGTATTTTGATCTGTCATCTTCTGACTTCATAACCTCTGCTTTTATGCCTCTGAATTAAGATTCACACATTCAGCTTGTAATCAGGAACAAAGGTTGAAATTTATTCTATCTTCTTTAAAGTTTATTTTATCTAGCTTTTGACTTTTTCAAATGTCACTCTTGAAAAGAGTTTTATGTGTATGGATTGTTATTTAGCCAGTGGTTACTTTAGCCAACTGATCTTGTCACCCCAGTGATAATGGTAATAGCACATAAAAATGAAAAATTATCAACTGAACATAATAGCTATGCTGTGCTTGTTTTTTTTTTTAATTTATTTTATTATTGTATTTTATTTATTTATTGTTTCTGGCTGCGTTGGGTCTCCGTTGCTGCGCGCGGGGCTTTCTCTAGTTGCGGCAAATGGGGGCTTCTCATTGCGGTGGCTTCTCTTGTTGTGGAGCACGGGCTCTAGGTGTGCAGGCTTCAGTAGTTGTGGCATGCAGCCTCAGTAGTTGTGGCACATGGGCTTAGTTGCTCTGCGGCATGTGGGATCTTCCTGGACCAGGGCTTGAACCTGTGTCCCCTGCATTGGCAGGTGGATTCTTAACCACTGAGCCACCAGGGAAGCCCACTGTGCTTGTTTTGTTTTTGTTTGTTTTGGATTGGTGGATAAATGGCCAGTAAGGCTTTGTTGGCCTCAGTTACCCGCCCCCCTTAGTTTATGAGAAAGGATGAACAGTGACCAGGAAGGAAGATGTAGTTTTTCCCATGAAGTAAAATGAAAATAAATAATTCCTAAGTAGATTGCATATTAGGATTAACCTCTCCATGGAAATGACTGTCTCTAGTACCTAAATAATTGATTTCCTTGAATGGCTTACACTATATTGGAGACACTAGTACTAATTAGTAATGATTCCTTTTTGGTTCAAAGATGATAACAGTGAAAAATGTTTTTATTTTCTTATATCTTTTCTGTTAACAAAAAGAAAACATTGGCATTTAGACATTGGGATGTCTAAAGAATACTTAAAATTACCTTTTCTTCTCTAATTCCATATTTTCCCTATGATTTTCCCCCCAAGCAGGAAATATTGTACAGAATTCAGACTTGGTTCTTGCTGTACGTCATTGCTTTGAGTAAAATAAAATCAAATTACAAATACCTTCATGCTTAAATTATTTAACCGTTTAGGGATATGGTTTATTATAGCAACGTGAGATTTTATACTTGAGGTACTCAAAGTAATACTTCTGTGACAAATATTTAACTTCTCCTTTCGAAGTTACCTCCTGGGATCAGGAATTTAATGTAAAAAATAAAAAGAGTTGAAAAAGAGAACCAAGTTGAAATTTTTTACTGTCTTAACTGCAAATGTTTTCTTTAATAAGCAATCAGAATTGACAGGGCAGGACAGGGTCATTTCGTAGAAGGGAAGTTGAAGAACCAGCTCTTCCCAGATTTTTTTTTCTTCTTAATACTGCCGTCTCTCCCCGTTTTTTCTTGCCACTAAACTCTTGCTGTGACCAGCTGGTAATATGAAACAATGTTTTATTCAGGTGATTGATTATTCTTTGATATGTATATTAATCTTTTGTGTGTGTGTGTGTGTGTGTGTGTGTATGTGTGTATTAATCTTATCCCTCAGGCTAATATTGAAGTTATCTAATTTACATGTTATCTGGTATAAATCTAGGCAATCTTTAACAAATTGATGCTTCATATGTTTAACAGACATAGCTTGAGAACTGTTCTGTACCTAATAAATAAGGAAAGTTTAGGTTTAATAGAGGTGAACTGGCTTTCTTACTGCAGAACCTTTAATGTGCTATTACTCATTGTAAATCTCCAAAGAATGAAATTTTAATATGTTGCTTTCCTTTTTTTTTCTTTTCTTTCCATTTCTCTTCCTCTCCCTCCTTTCCCCCTTCTATCTCTCTTTTCTTTTGTAGTATAGTAAATAGCATCTCTCTAGTGCTAATAGTGTTCCATGGAGCACAATTTGGGAAATGTTGAAAATGAAAAAAGATGTATATAACAATATTTTCCTCTAGTTTGTCAGTAGGAAATAATTTACTTCCTCCTCTTTTATTGGAAAGATTTTAGATTTCTGTATTTATTATGAGGAAATGCTTAGAGCTCAGTCTCCTGATATTTAGTGATTTTTGAAAAAAGCCTTTATTCATTGTCTTGTATACTATCAGCTTTTTTACCCATATATAAGCAGCTGTATTATAGATTTAAAAGTCCATCTTCCCCTTTCCCGTTTTATACATTTTCTTCCCGAAGAAAATTTTCAGATATTCTTCTCTTGGGCTTCTCTTGGGTGGCGCAGTGGTTGAGAGTCCGCCTGCTGATGTAGGGGACACGGGTTCGTGCCCCGGTCCGGGAAGATCCCACATGCCGCGGGGCGGCTGGACGCGTGAGCCATGGCCGCTGAGCCTGCGTGTCCGGAGCCTGTGCTCCGCAACGGGAGAGGCCACAACAGTGAGAGGCCCGCGTACCACCAAAAAAAAAAACAAACAAAAAAACTTCTCTTAATCACATGCTGATCTCTCAGTCAACCTTAATTGTATGTTGATTTTCAATTAAAAAAGGTGTTTGTCATCTCAACATTACCATTATTGGTTATTCAGTGAAAAAGAGTTGAAAAGAGATTATTTAGAGGAAAGCTTCAGAATAATTTAGAGGAAAGGATATCAGTTCCCTCTCCCTTTCCAACAGCTTTCGACTTCTTCCCTCATATTGCCTCTCTGTTTCCTTTTTTTTATTGAGGTGTAAATCCCATAACATAAAATTAACCACTTTAAAGTATACAATTCACTTTAGTACCCTCACAATGTTTTGTAACCACCACCTCTGTCAAGTTCCAAAATATTTTTTATCACCCCAGAAGAAAACCCTGTCCTCATTTGCTGCCTCCCATTTCTGTTAGTCTTTTTTTTTTTTTTTTTTTTTTTT